CCCAAAATTGGGGTGAAAAACCCAAAAATGGGGTGAAAAACCCGAAAATGGGGATAGGAAACCCAAAATTGGGGAGAGAGACCCAAAAATGGGGAGAGAGACCCAAAATTGGGGATAGGAAACCCAAAATTGGGCTGAGGGACCCCGAAATGGGCTGAGATACCCAAAAATGGGCTGAGGGACCCCGAAATCGGGGAGAGAACCCCAAAAATGGGCTGAGAAACCCGAAAATGGGGAGAGAACCCCAAAAATGGGGATAGAAAACCCAAAATTGAGCTGAGAGACCCCGAAATTGGGGAGAGAACCCCAAAAATGGGCTGAGAAACCCCAAAATGGGGTGAGAGACCCAAAAATGGGAAGAGAAAACCCAAAATTGGGGCTAGAGATCCCAAAAATGGGGAGAGACCCCTGGGATTTGGGATCCGGGGATTTGGGATCCCTCACCGGATCCCAGCGGATCCCTCTCCTGCGGGATCCACAAGGACCTGGTGGGGTCACGGGGGTTGGATCCCACATTGGATCCCTCAGTTGATCCCAGCGGATCCCTCTCCCTGCAGGATCCACAAGGACCTGGTGGGGGTCACCAGGGTGGATCCCTCAGCAGATCCCTCAGTGGATCCCTCTCCCGTGGGATCCACAAGGACCTGGCGGGGATCACCGGGGTGGATCCCTCAGCAGATCCCTCAGCGGATCCCTCTCCCGCAGGATCCACAAGGATCTGGCAGGGGTCACGGGGGTGGGATCCCACATTGGATCCATCACCAGATCCCTCAGTGGATCCCTCTCCCGCAGGATCCACAAGGACCTGGTGGGGTCACCGGGGTGGATCCCTCAGCGGATCCCTCAGCGGATCCCTCAGCGGATCCCTCAGCGGATCCCTCAGTGGATCCCTCTCCCGCGGGATCCACAAGGACCTGGCAGGGGTCACGGGGGTGGGATCCCACATTGGATCCCTCACCGGATCCCTCAGTGGATCCCTCTTCCCGCAGGATCCACAAGGACCTGGCGGGGGTCACAGGGGTTGGATCCCTCACCGGATCCCTCAGTTGATCCCAGTTGATCCCAGTGGATCCCTCTCCTGCAGGATCCACAAGGACCTGGCGGGGGTCACGGGGGTTGGATCCCACACCGGATCCCTCACCGGATCCCTCAGTTGATCCCAGTGGATCCCTCTGCCGCAGGATCCACAAGGACATGCTGCTGGAGCTGACCAAGGAGCTGATGAAGGACCTGGGCGTGACGGCCGTGGGCGACGTCATCGCCATCCTGCG